TTGATATTTTGAGTGCTGAAGAGAAACAGAGAGATAATAAAAAATGGCCCTGGGGCATCCCAGGAAGCGGGTCCCCACCCTTTGCAGCCTCACTGCAAAGGCAAAAGAATTTCCTCATAGGGAAAAGCTTCAGAGCGCCATGCTCTAGAATGGCAACAGAGGCCACATGAGGTTCCAGAATGGCAGCAACATAGAGAAGCTTTTCCTCACAGTCAGATAAACAGAGCCCAGGATCCAGGCAACTGACCCCTACAGCCAAGAGAGAGAAAAGCCTGGCTACTGCTTCAGCTGGCAGTAGACCTTGGCAGCATCCACAAGGTGCTGATTTTAGGTGCAAGGAAAATGCACAAATTCTGAGGGTAAAACGACTTCCACCTTGATCACAAAGGGCCTGGGAGTCCAAGCAGTGTGCCCCCTGAGAGGGCAATTTGTAAAGATGTAAAGGTGAAGCCAAAGATGCAGTGGAGACCCCAAAAGTTTGGAAAAGCCAGGAATGTGGATGATCCAAGGGAAGCTGCAAAAAACGAGCAGAGAAGATTTAAGAAAAGAGCTGCGGGAGTTACAATCGCCAGAGGTGCTGTGGGGGTGGAATCACCCAAGCCTTTTGGAGCTTGCAACCAGTTTATTTCAGATGCTGAGCATGGACTTTAGGACTTAATGTTTGCCCCGCTGGATGTTGGACTTGCTTTGTTTCCAACGCTTTCTATTCCCCTGTTTGTTACTTTTGGAATGGTAATGTTTATCTTGTGCCTTTGCATTTCAGAAATGTTTAACCTTGCTTTAATTGTACTGGAGTTATAGTTAACAGTTTGCCATAGATCATAGAGAAGGCATGGGACTTGGAATTTTTAGCAATGCTGAAACTGTTAGAACTTTGGCAACTTTTGGAGGCAGACTAAATGTCTTTTGTGTAAAGGATGTACATGAGTCCTGGGGGCCAGGGATGAAATGTCATGGTTTATGTCTGTGGCCTCCCAGGCCTCATGAGTTTGCATTGTGCATTTGTGATTGGTTCACTATCTAGTGCTTGGATTGATGGTGTCAGTGCTACACCCACAAAGGGGTGGAGCCAGGACGTGATGTAATGGCAGGAAGAAGGTGTGTCTTGCTCTTTGCTGGTTCCTGCTTGCTGTTTGCGGCCACCATGAACTGCGGCCCAGCCATGCCCCCCTGCCTTGGAGCCAAGTGATTGTGGACTAAAACTTCCAAAAACTGTAAGAAATAAGCCTTTCCTTTCCCAACTTGGGCTTGAAATATTTTGTCTCAGTGATGAGTAAAAGGTAACTAATACAGATGGACTGAAGGTTTGAGATTGCATTTTGCTCTTTAGTTTTGTCCTTTTTCCGTGTTTTCCTGGGGAAGTCAAATTCAAAGATCTCAGTTGCTTACTGGGTTGAGGATGTCTGTTTGTGTTGCAGGAAGTTTCCCATTTGAATGGGGCTCATTAGGCAGGCCTTATTAAGTCTGTAGTGGCACTGGAAGGCTCCTCAAATGGGGAGAATACTCTGGGTAGACCTTCTGAACACCCCGTGTAGCACTCTGAAGCTCCCTAGCTGCTTGAGGTTGCTGGCTGGGACCCTGACAGATTCTGAATTGTGTACCAAGTCTGAGCATCTAGATGGAGTATGCTGTGTAATGCTTTAGCTCACATCAAAGCTCCCCAGCTGCTTGGTTTCTCCGGGTGGTGCCTTAAGACTTTCTGCAAGAGATGCTGAGCTTGTATGGCTAGGGGAAGTTCGCTGTGCAGGCCTTGTGCCACTCTGCACAGGAGGTTCCACTGCTAATCACGGTTGTTGGTCAGGGCCCAACCAGGACCTGAGCCACCTACCAAATTCTCTGGCTGTCAATCTGAAAGAAGGCTAATAAACTGAAAGTCAAAGATGAGGAAAGCGAGCTCTAAGTGACAGGGAACCAGAGAGAAATAGGGACAACTCGTCCAGCAGCCACAGATAGGTTGGAAAGTTATGACACTTTTGTGCAGTGTACAAACTACACAGCTAGAAGGAAAGAAAACTTTGTGGCTTTAGTAAGTAAAAGAGTACAGCACAAGATCAAGCTCAGGGGTAAAAAGTTTCACCACCACTCAGATAGATAATGGGTTGTCTCCTTAATCTAAAAACTAAAGGAGTTAGTGGGACCCAAAATTGTAATACAAAGCATCCTGAGAAAGGGAAAGGTGAGCAATTGCCTGAAAAAGGAAGGCAGAGGACATTGTTAATAGTGTATGTGGATTTAAAAGCCACAGTAAGCTTATCGCTCTGCTTAGTTTGATTTTATTTTGTTTAGTCTACTCATATTAGATTTGAGGGCACAGATATCTATCCCCAAAATAGCAAGCTATACTACAGTAACTATCCTTAATTTCCTATTAACTTAAACTGAAGCCCTGTATTACTTACATTGTCTTACTATGACTTATCTTATTTGAAGCTGGTTTGTTAAATTACTATTTTGCCTTGACTGATTTTATTCGAATTTGGTATGCTTGATGATATCAAGTCTAAGAGTAGAGGCAACCACTCTGAAGATGACAAGATGTAATAACATACCCATTCCGGTTTGATTATTAATTGCTTTTGAAGTCCTACAATGTCTCCAAAGTTGTGTTTTTATTAAAATAGCTATGTAATGCTATGTTCAATTATCATATGTCTGATGATGTGGACAACTCTATTAAAAATAACAAGAGAAAACATAGTAACTGCTGTATGATAGGATTATATCCAAAAGATGAGAAGTATAAAACAAAAGAGGCCTTTATTCTGAGAACACGGAGAGAGAGAACCGACATGCCCCAACAGCTGGAGTCCGGCTTTCTGGCTAGTGGACATGTGGCTTGGGGGGGTATATAAGTAGCCTAAGCTTAGGGTAGTGCCCTAAGGCCATTAGAGATGCACAGGTATCTCACTGGCACACATTTGGCGCCAGGGGCAGATTCCTAAGGGTGGGGGGAGATAGAGTCACAGGTAAATCCCTAGGGGTGGGGGAGATGGGAGCTCCCTGGTTCTGGTTGAGGCTTTTCTGGCTACAGAGCCCTGTCTGGGCCAAAACCCTTTTACTGTAGATCACCAAATATTGTGCTTTTATATGTCTTTTTTATTTCATGTTTTTCTAATAATTTGTTTTTTGACTTGTTATGATCTGTTTTTCCCTCTAATACAGAAAGGATAGATATGCATGTAGAGATTCACACATGGAGAGAATTTCTAAACAATTTAAAGGAACACATTGTACAATGCATGATGTAATGAATGGATACTGTGAAGAAGAGACACTAATAAATTGCTGATTCTGTAACATTATGATATAAAATCTAGCAAAACTATTACTCACTGTTTAGAGTGATATTAGTCTAGTCCCTTATGTTCAATTTCAGCATATGTAAAAAGATAAAGACAAGCTACTATGAAGAGAATGAGAGACATTATGGCAGTCACTATTGACTTCCCCAGTGTCAGGTCTTGAAGACCTAAAAAGCCTTCATCACCTTGTTATGATCAGATTAGTTCTACAATGTTCAGTATGTACTGAATGTGTGTGAAAATGGGGTCAACTGTTTGGAAGAAAACTAGAGACAATAAGACAGACAGTGAAGATCTCCAGTGGACTTGCTTTAAAATTAGTGTTTCTTAAAATTGTTTCCTTATGACCTGTTTTGGTATGTTTAATCTTACCCTCTTTAAGATATGGGCAGTTCTTTTGAAGATAGCAAGAGGCATTATAGTAGCCATTGTTGATCACCTTGTATTTTGTTTTTACATCATATACTATGTCTATTCTTGTTTTAACTGACTCCATTTTGCTTTGTCACATTTGATTTTATTCTCTTCAAACAAACAATATGTAATCTGTCAACTAGTGATTTCTTACCATCTGTTTTTTTGAAATTCTGTATTACTTCTACCCTTTTTTCTGTTTTATTTTTTTCCCTCTTTCAATAAAATTCTTTATAAAAAAATTCTCTGTTTTGGGCCAGTGGGTGGGGACCTACCAGATTCTGAGTGATTTACTGAGCTTGCACTTCTATGTAGAGTTTGCTGTGCAGGCCTTTCCGCTCACTCCACTCAGTGCAGGATAATCCCTTGGCACTTTAGATCTCTGGGTGGACCCTTTAATAAATTATTTATTTTTTGCCTGGACCACAAATTTATTTTGTCTTCTTAGGGATGCATTGAGAACATAACCACATAACACTGATACAAATTTTAATTTTATGTTTATGTATCAGCTTTCTAGTGCTGTGACAAAACACATTTAGATAAACAACATGCTATGGTTTACATCTAGAATGTTTCCCATATTCTCGTGGGTTCAGAGGTTAGGTTTTTTTAAGGTGAGTAGACATTGGTGATCATATACTAATCAATGGATTGATCCATTGATGAGTTACTAGCTAAATGTACTGTTGGGAGGCAAAGTCTATTTGGAGGTAAGTCATTGAGGGCATGACCTGTAAAGGTATATTCTTGGCTCTTCTCTTCTGTCTGTGATTTTTGGCTGCTATGTGATGAGCAGCTGTTCTCTGGCCAGGCCCTTCACCCTACTGGCCTTGGAGACAGCTGACCATGGACTAAAACCACAATAAAAAATAAACTTCTCCTCCTTTAAGTTTTGGGTGCTGTTTATTTTGTCCAGTGACAGAATTGTGACCAAGATAGAATTTAATGTATCAGAATTTCAGGGTTTCAGAGGTTTCAGCTCATGGTTGCTTGGGCTGATCACCTTGTGCCTGTGACCAGGAATAAAATCATTGTGGGCAGTGCATGGTAGAGCAAAATTGCTCCTTTTGTGGCTACTGGTAATCAGAGGATGGGGAGAGGGTCTGAGTTCAGATGTATCTCCAAGTAGGTGACACCAACTGAAGCATCCCCCCAGTGCCATTAGCTGGGGATCCAGCCATCAACACATGAGCTTTTTGGGGACATTTAAGGACAAAAGAACAATATGAGAATATTAACTGTCCATTCTCAAACTCAATCCCTCCTTGTTTTCTTTTACAGATTCCAGAGTTATTAAAAAATGCTACATGGCAAAAATGGAGAAAAAACAGTTCGAGACAGTTGTTGGATGCTACAAAGGTAGGATTAAGCCCGTATTTCAACATGTATCAGGAAAAATATATAAGCCCTTGAAATATTTCCTAATATGTATGATATATTATTTATTTTACATTTTTCAAATAATTTCCTTTTTCATATATTTATAAATACTGACAAGAAACTATATTCCTGCTGCTAGAAATGCAGAAAGAAATGTTGATATTTTTCTACCCCTGGGGGAAATCTGAATCTCTTGAGATCTGTGCCTACTAAAGTAACATTTTCAGAAAGCTTCTATATATGTAATGGTAGTTGTTGACACTTAAATTTATCCTGATAATTTGTATCTGATGTATAGAATGTTGTAGTTTTACAAGTGGGTGACTTTTTCTTACCTTAGAAACATCAAAGCTTATAAGGTAAGTGGTGTTCAGTTAACATGTTTATTTATTTTTATTTTATTTTATTTTATTTATTTATTTATTTTAATCGGTACCGGGGATAGAACTCACGACTGCCTGCTTGCAAGGCAGGTGCTTATGCCACTGAGCTAAATCCCCAGCCCCTTTGTTAACATGTTGATGAGGGGTATTTTTTGTAGCTAATGTGAATCAAAGATATCTTTACAAATTCCAAGTGCTTTAAAATTTGACAGTTAAATCTCCATGATAGAAATACACTGGAAAATTAGAAAATAGTCTACTTGTTAATTTTTTTTCTAATTATTTCCCATTAAGATATAAGACATTGTTCTGATTTATAAAGAGGCTGTGAAAATGAAAGATTTTTCAGTATTAAACTATAGCTTTTAAGGGGAAAATATGCTTACTCGTTTCACTGTCCATGGTTGCCATGAATTTTATTTACATTTTAGGCCTTTGCTTTGTTATCTTGTGTGGTATTCACCAGACCTCTTAATATAACTTTTTGCTCAGCTTTTTAGAGGAAAAAATATTAGAGAGTCATTTGAGGCTAAGATTACCTTTTGATGTTTTCCTTTTACAAAGTGGTTTAAAATTGTTGATCCAAAATGAATAACCCATTTATGGCAGTTCTTGTGTTTCAACAGGTGAGAATAAGAAGGTAGTTTTGCTTTTTGTAATTCCATTTTTGTAGCCTGGTCTGGAGCTGATACTGTTATGTATGATATTAGTCCATATTTGTGTTTATGAAGAATTGTTCATTTCTAGTTGAGTATTCTGATTACTTAACAAGCATCGTTAAATTTGTATACTTCATTAAGGTATTTTTTAATTGTGGAAAGGCTTTAAATATTAGCAAGCCTAAATTTCAAACTTCATCATTAATATCTTATTACCTATATTTTTCTCAAATAATTTTGTTTTTATGTAGCTCTAAATTTAGCAATAACTTTAAGGCCTTTTAAAATTTTATTGAAGATACGATAAATTGAAGATAGTTGGGGAGAGTTTCAGATAACTATTTTGTAAACAAATCCAAGCAGAATTGAAATCTACATTTCATATGTATGTAAGACACTGGTATATACCATGAGAGAAAAAGACAAAAGATACTGTTCCTAGTTCTAAGAAATTGACTGGATAATAGGAAAGACAAATGTGTGTGACTATAGTGTAAGAAAAACTGTGAAGTACTAAAAATATCTGTTTCTAAATATGTTTGTGAGCAAAGATAATAAGAAAAAGGACTAGTGGTGTAAAATCAGCTGTATTAATTGTAAAACAAAAATATGTACAAAAGGAAAACAAATATGGTATAAATTAACTGTGTATTATACTTGCTTGTCAATCTGCTGTTAAATGTAACAGATGATTAGCACTGTATTAGTGAATGACAAGGAACTACTGTAAGTTAAATAAAAGTATAATACAAGTTAAAAATTTTAAATGTTAATTTCAAAGGCTATTTAGAGGAAGTGACTTTTGCATGAGTATTTGCCAATCTCAATATTATGTAAATTTAGCTATAAGCTGTTTTTAAAAGTGTTTTCTTTTACTCTGCCAGGCCAAAAGCAATACCTTTGAATTTGTTGTAGGGATATTCACTAGAATACATTGTCTATGTACTATTTTTAAACATCTGAAATTCTGTAATAGCTAATATAGTGGTTGGTATCATTTCAATAGGCTCTCCAGGCATGGCCATTGATAGAAAAGAGGACATGTTGGCATGGTCATGCAGGAGGAGGACTACACACAGACCCAAAAGAAGGGGTAAGAGCAAATGACAAGTAAATGAGAATTCTTGTTGATAATTTTACTTGCATAGAAGATATAGATTATCATATTCTATTATATTTTGATTGATTCATCTAACTGAAATTCTCTAATGCCAAATCATATGCACTGACGAGATTTTCTTTAGTGTATAACCAGCCAACCAACCACCCAACAAAATTTCATGATTGGTTAATTCATTGACTGGATAATAGGAAAGACAAATGTGTGTGACTATAGTGTAAGAAAAACTTACTTGTCAATGTAATCATTTTAGTTGTCTAAAATAATATTGATTAAGCTTATTTATTATTAGTCTACCTTCAATAAATAGCCAAGTTACATTTAGCCAATGAATTTATGTAGTCCTTCCCAGCAGAAATCTCCCAAGCCTGGTCTTTACCATCAGGCTTTCTGTCAGCCTTTTGGTCTCCTGAGCTCTGACCAGAATCTCTTCTACAGAACAGCCCTCGGTACCAAATTCTGTCTTGGTTACTTTTTACTTGTTGCTGAGACAAAATACCTGATGCTCAAAGTTAGAAAAGGAAAGGTTTATTTCTTAAAGTTTTTGGAGGTTTTAGTCCATACTCAGTTGGCTACAAACGGTAGCATGGCAGGACCACAGTTTAAGGCAGCTGTAAACAGCAAGGCGGAGACCAGCAAGAGGGCAAGACACACCTTCTTCCTGCCGTTGCATCAAGTCTTGGCTCTACCCCTAGGTCGGTGTAGCACTCACTCCCCCAATCTAAGCTCTAAACAATAAACCAGGCACGAATGCATAATGCAAGGTCATCAGACTTGGGGGCCACCAACATAAACCATGACATCCACCTAACCCATGTATTTAATTTTCCGTATTCTTTTTTTTGTACTGGGAATTGAACTCATGACCTTGTACTTACCTGGAAGGCACTTAGGTCTGTAGGCTAAACCCCAAGTCCATTTTCCATGTTCTTTATCATTGTTATTATCATTGATACAGGGGGAAAAACTCTCAGCCTACAAGATGTCCAATATAAGTTCATGTTCTCTAAAATTGAAGAATGAATTTTAGAAACAGTGGAGGTTAAGAGCAGAATATATTTATTGACAGCAAGAAAGCTTCAGTCTGAGAGAGAGACAGAAGGGATCCAGAGTAGGTTACCAAGACTCTGTCTTTTCTAGGACCTTTATAGAGCCAAATAACAAAGTGAAGCAGGTCCAAAATGGGCACATGGTGGGATAGAACTTTGGCCAACCAGTAAGATTATGAGAGTAATTACTCAGGTAAATTTGATTAAATCGGGGACAAGTGGGGAAGCAAGTCACTAGCAAGTGGGCATGAATACAGAACAGATTCTTTTGCCTGTAAGGAGTTGGGTTAGTGGCCCCTCCTGGATACCTATATAGAATATCAGTCCCTGATGTTTATTCTTAGGAAGTATGTGGGTGCATTTGTTTTATATTTTGTCTTGAGAGGTCTGGCCCACAGCTGAAGTATATGTCTCTCCCACTGTTGCCAGGTATCTGTTCTTTTGTATTGGCTCCTTCGAGGGCCTAGCCCTGTCTGACTGCCTATAATATTTGTGTCTAACTCAGTTGCCTGTAACATCATTATATAGTCTTGCTAAATAGTAAGGTCACTGAAATAAAAAGATTTAATTGCAGTATACTTTTTCTAAGTGAGTGAAAATGTTATCAAAATACTGTTACACATTTTTCCACCTGGCCCTTTTTTCTGAGCTCACTTTTATTTTCTTCCAGTCTTTACAGAAAGAGTGAGAGTGAAACAGGAATAGGAGAGAGAAATAAGAGCCAGAAAGAGAGAAGTAGAAATGGTAATTTAAGAGTTGATGACCAATTGAGCAAATTATATATAGAAGTGCTCTATAAAAATACTTATTTATATACTTATTTATACTTATTTTATTGGTAGGAAGTAATTGGTAAGAAAGTGTTTTTCTTTCTCTTTCCTTGGTTCCCAGTATAATTTTTCTTTCAAGGATCTCAAAGCATTCTACATTCGTGTTTCTGTCTCTTTGTTTTAAATATTACTCTCTTCTATGGTTGTCTAGAAATAGCACAGTATAAATAAAGTAGAATTTTTAAAAATTAAACCAAGTAGTGAGATTTGTTTGTCTGTAAGTCTTCAGCATGACATTTACCAGTTTTCAGGATGTCACACAAGCTTTTTAAGGATAGTTATTAATAATTCTAAGCATAACCAAAAATATGTTGACTAATAAAGGAGAAATAGTTACTTCCCTTAAATTCAAGCAATGTAAACTTCAAGATTGTTTCTTTTTCAATAAAAACAAACAAAGCAAAGTCATTGTAATACCGTATATTTGGTCTTTATTATTTTCACCCTTCCATCCTTGTATTATCTTAGCCTTGTTAGCTAAATGGAATCATAGTAAAGTTTAGAAGACATGACAGTAAGAGTGCATAGTTAAGAACCTAAGCTCTGGAGCTAGACTAGCTGGATTTTAATCATGCCCCTTTACTTCCTAGTAGATTGCTTTTGAAAAAGTAACTTAATCCCGAGTGCATTTAAGTTTCTTCATCTGTAAGATAGGAATAAAAATTATTATTAAAATGGATTTAAATAAGTTGATGTCTCATAATATTTTAAAGCTCTTAAGTAGTGCATAGAACATAGGAAGTACTTAACAAATATTGGTAGCAGTGATTATAATATGAGATTATAAGGCCTGTTTTCTGGCATAATCCATTCATTTAAGAAATAGTTACTGATTACTTGCTTTGTACCAAAATTTATGCAAAGTACCAATATACAGTAATGAACAAGACAAAGTTTCTGCTGTCTAGAAGCAATGTTTGTATGACAGAATAAGTAATCTAGGATGGAGAATTTTTATCAGTCTGACAGATAATAGATATTACCTTAAAGCCAACTGAAGTCTTTTCTTTTGCTTTTTATTAATTTTTGTTTGTGTATTTTTAGCAAGTATAATGCTTCTCAGAAAGTATTTAAGTCCTCTATTCATTGTAGCTGTTATAAATAGTTTGTGAAAAAGCAGTGATAATTTAATATTTGTTTTGATTTTGGTTTTGTTTTGGAACCAGAAATCAAACTCAGGACCTCACACTTACCAGGCAGGGGCTGGGCCACTGAGCTATTTCTCCAGCTGCAAGTAATTTGACATTTAAAAACTCTTATTTTAAAACACTAGTTTAAGGAAATATTTGTTTTGTAACAGAATCTTCAGGGTTTTAAAGGATCTTTGGAGCTTTATTCCTTTATTTGAATCTTTAGTTGTATCTTTCATAAGAAGTATTTGTTTGTAAATTTAGCCTTCTGCTTTTAGTAAAGACATACACGGTGTAGAAGTTAATGAAAAGATTATTTTTTACTAAGAACTTTGCATGACATATTCCCTTATGTTAGAAATACTTCTTCATTGATTGGTTACAGTCTGAGGCCAGTAATATTAAACATTAGCCCCTACTAGAGTAGTCAAAGAGCTTTGACATAACTCTTTACGTAATTAGAAGTTGTCTTGTCAGTAGCCCCCAGGCCTCCTGCCTTTGCATTATGCATTTGTGATTGGTTTATTGTCTAGCACTTAGGTTGGTATGAATGCTACACCGGCCTAGGGGTGGAGCCAAGATGTAATTTAATGGCAGGAAAAAGGTATATCTCTTTCTCTTGCCAGTTTTAGCTTGCTGTTTGCAGCCGCCATAAGCTGCGGTCCCACCATTCCACCCTGCCTTGGAGCCAACTAAATATAGACTAAAACTTCCAAAAACTGTAAGAAATAAACTTTTCCTTTCCCAACTTTGGTCATCAGGTATTTTTTCTCAGTGACAAGTAAAAAGTAACTAAGACAGAAGTAAAACAGAATATTGAGTATTTAATATTAGAGGATTTGGGAGATAATAAAATAATGAGTCTCCTTCTTTGTTACAATGAGTAGACATACAGCCAGTGCATAAGAATATATGGATGACATAGATTGTTTTCTAGCTGTGACTTCATACATCATCAACCAAGTGGTCTTCATTTGATTTCTAAAAATTGACCTCCTTTGAGAATAAAGAATTCACTGACACACCAATGAAAGCATCAATTCTGCTCAGTAGTTATTTTTATTGTCAATTATTAAATGTTACACATCCATCTCATGTAGCATAATCCTTTTTTTCTCAGTGCCTAATTACCACTGGATAAATTTTCATTGAAATTTCAGACCACCAGAGCTTAGAAAACAAACCCTGAGGTAGAGAACATATTAAAAATCGCAAAGCTTTTCTGACAAATGTTTAACTTTCCTACCCCAAACTCATTATACTTACATTCATAATTATGTAAGGAATATTCTCTAGTTACCGCTGGAGTTTTCAATGAGTCATCTACTGAACTTGCTTGTCTTGTTTTGATCTAACTATTATCAAGCCACTGTTAGAGATTCCTAATAGTGTTGAAGTAGTCATTAGCTTTGGCTGAGGAGATAGTTCTCTTTTCTATAGTTTAGTTTGTCTGTCATTAGGCTGGGTCTGTGCATTTTCTGAACTTAAATCACCCCACCGTAGCAGGCTCACTGACTTCCATCAGAAGAAAATAATTTTCAGGCTGTGTCAAGAAGAGGCATATGTATGATTTTTAGGCAGAAAGTATAGTACATACTCAAGAGAGGAGTATGGGTATTCAGAAAAATGAGATGCATTACAGTTTAGAACTGAATACATTTATTCTTTTATTGAGGGTATGAAAAGCTAGGGATAAAACTGCACCCCCTAAAAGATACCAGCCCATTTGTAGGCATATTTTTTTGAGACAACATCTTGCTATGTAATTCAGGCTGGCCTTGATGTCACTGGGTAGCCCAGGCTGACTCTGAATTTACAGCAGCCTTTTCTGCCTCAGCCTTCCCAAATACTAGGATTACTAGTGTGCACCACCACACCTACCTAGCTGTTCTTTAATTTTTTTGAATAGGTGCTTTAAACATTCTTTGAATTTGCTCAACCTTTTGTTTACTATCTTAATTGGG